CTTAACGGAGTGTATTGAAGATTAACTTAACTATCGACTAACGTCTGATTTAAATTCGTAAAGTAGCGATTTATAAAGAAGGTATATTTCATTCAACAAAGTGAGCAAATTTAACTTTTAAAGAGCCACTTAAAATATGTTGGCGAGTTTTGAACCCTCTTTATCACACTCGCAACTACTTTTAAGCATTTAAGCATTAATCACTCTTAATTTGTTGAAAAATCAGTTTCTTTTATGTGCTAATCGAAAAACTTCAACGTTTGATACGAAAGATTTATTAAACATCACACATACAGAAAAAATTGTGCCAAATTTCCATAAAAATAACGCTTTTCCTGCCGTTGAATTCCAACGGTGAGTACAAGGAAAGTAGCCCATCAATTTTAGATTTATTTTTACAACATTTTAAAGTAATCCGTGACGTTCGTTCTGTTATAAATCCGGCGAAATATCGGCATATTTTAAGTAATTGCTTTTCTGTGCTAAATATTGTTCCACTTCATTTGTAGCCATTGTGAATTTATGGTGCTTAGACAAGAAGATATTTTATCGACCAGACGTATTCATTTATTACACTTACAATACATTTTAGTGTGCCAGAAGCATTTAGGATCCATAAAGTGTCAATATAAACGTTAAAGTTGGCGTTTTAAGTTAATTACACTGAAAAGTAGACAATTACTTTGATCGTTTTCAGTGACGATTTGTGTCGAAAATGGGTTTAGCACCCATTAAAACTTTCTTTTCCTTTTCCAAAGGTACCCACCGATTTTCCGAACATTTCCAAACGCTAGATACCTAATGTTACTTTACTTTAATTATTTGGATTATTATAACTGTTAAGTAATTTTAAGATTTTCTATTTTATTTGTCGCCCGTTTGCGTGCGGGGTAATATGTCCAAACAAGCTTCTTTCAGGGATTTTGTTTTATTTTTCCATGTGTTTCGGAGTTAAAAATTGCGATGTTCATAATTATGACACCCGCAACAAATTAAATGCATTTGTCCCTTTCTGCCGTTTAAGTAAGACGCAAAACAGTTTTGATTATATCAATATAAAAATGTATAATTATATTCCTCACAATATTAAGGCTTTACCTTTTAATTTATTCAAATCAAGAACTAAAGCATTTCTTATTGATAAAGCGTTTTACTCGTATGAGGAATTTTTCAGTACAGAGTTCTTTTCGTGACAATTAAGTATTGTTGTTATAATTTTGTTTTTTTTTTTTTGGACAGGTGGGGAAATGCATTACGCACACTCCAGATGGAGGTCTGGAGTAGTGTGGGACTCTTCCATTATTTGGGCATACCCACTAAAACCCCACCTGAGGCTTCGGCTTCTAAGGCCATTTGCCAATCTATTTCCTACTTATAGCAGCTAAGATATCACAGTTTTAAGATGCATACTAGTTACATATATATCACAGATTTTCAGCTCAAACGTACAGTCATAGGACATATTATTACAAACATTTTATCACAGTTTACTTATCACATTTATGGTGCTTAGAAATCGCAGTACTTCTGAGCATTTATTTACAGTGCTAAAATTCTCTTCCCATATGTCACTTATTTGATAGAGGTTACGGGCATCTTGGTATTCTGGACAAACACAAACTATATGCTCCGGTGTTAGGTTTACATCACACCTTACGCAATGAGGATGATCTTCACCGGCCAACAAAAAAACAATGTGTCAAGGCAGTATGGCCAAGCCGGAGTCTATATAGTTTTATCAAAGCGGAACGATTCGTATTAACAAGAAACAGTGGTCCTAGGCTGGGCTTGACCCTCTTCAAGAATGTGTCAGATGCCCTCCACTGGTCACTCCAACGCTCATTTATTTGAGCTTTTACAAGCCTGCCTCGAACTATTTTAGACAAATCTGCAAAATTTGCTTCATGGAGTTCTAAGTGTCTCAGTTCTTCTCTAGCTCTTTCTCCTATCGTTCTACATCTATTTAGACGAGCATTTGTGATCTCATTTGTAAGCAAGTGATGGTTCGGGTGACTGTTTATCTAGAGACACTTTAAGATAATAGTTGACCAGAATCTGCTTTCGGCGAAGAGTTAAAGGAAGAATGTTTGCTTCCACGTGAAGTGAGGCGACAGGAGTTGTTGGGTATGCTCCAAGAGAATACCTTATTGCAAGGTTCTGGATTTTATCTAGTGCTCCTAATAAAGTGTTGTTACCGCATGTGAGGTAGGCAGGGCTACCATAATCAATTTTTGATAGAATCAATGCTCTATATATGTTAAGTAGAGTCTTAGCATGCGCACCCCATTTATTATTCGCTAAAACTCTGATTATGTTCAGCAACCTCCTACTTGTGGTAACAATGTTTTGCAGGTGTCTAGACCATCTTAATTCACGGTCAAATGTTAACCCCAGGAACTTGACCTCTTGGGGTACACTTATAATTTGATCGTTCATAAACAGGACTGGGTCGTAGTGAGGTTTACGAAGTCGACAGAAGTGAGTGGCCTTAGTCTTCTCTTCCGACAGCACAAACCCGACAGCGCTTGCATTTTCCCATATTTTATTTATTGCCATTTGTAATTTACGGGTTATGGCACCGATTGTTTTATCAGAACAGCAGATCATCAGATCGTCAACGTACAGGCATTTATCTATTTCCTCGGTGACACACATTGCTATTTGTTCTTACATTTGTAATATTTTTATGTTGCTTTTGTATTGACTTATGTATGTAGGCTGTTCTACAAAACATTAAATAAGCTTTATTATTATTATGGTTGGTGTTTCTTGTGAGAACTCAGGTCTAGCCTGGTTAACTAATCGCACGGATTAAAATCAAGTAACGATTAGTGTCTGTGTCTGTGTCTGGTGAAGTTATGTAGGGTCATTAACAAAAAAAAAAAATCACACACGTACATTGGACATCTAGGGATAATGTAATTCGTACTTACCAACATACCTATTGATGGGCACAATAGCCAACGCTATCAGGATTATTATTATTATTATTATGGTCGGTGTATCTTGTGAGAACTCAGGTCTAGCCTGGTTAACTAATCGCACGGATTAAAATCAAGTAACGATTAGTGTCTGTGTCTGGTGAAGTTATGTAGGGTCCTAAAAAAAATAAAATAAATATAATAAAAATAAAAATTCACACACTCACATTGGAAATCTAGAGATAGTATGTAATTCATACTTACCAACATAGCTATTAATGGCCACAATATTTCAATTTCGTGCCTGATTTGTTCCTGTGTGTCTAATGTAAGGAGTGTATTTTTAATAATAACTCTACGTTGATCTGCAATGCGTTGTTCTGTTAAGTGTGCTAAATGTGGGTATTGTGTAATGAACGCGTGATATAGTTTACCTCTGTATGCTGTCCTGTCCGTTTCCATCTTCGTGATCTCCAGATACGTACCGAAAATGAAGCGATTCATCCCTTCATCCCATTTCATACGTCTTTTGGAGGTTTCCTTTGCGCTGGTCCCATCCACAAGCGGTGTATGTGTTTTTTCGAATCCATTGTGCGATCCGGATAGAAATTTCATGTCAGATTTTTCTTCTCGTGCTATTCCAGGTGTTAATAACAAGTTCCTTGAAATTTTCGGAAGTTGATCGAGGCCACGGAGTCTCTGGAATTGAGAAATTTTATGTCAATATTAGCACAAAATAATATGCAGCGAACACAATTGATTGTCATTATTGCTTATTCCATATCTGTAAAAAAAACGCGAGGGATCAGCATCAAATTGCCTGCTTTTCAATTAAAGGAAAACTGATTTTCTAGATCAGCAATTGAGCACAACAGTAGCACTATTCAAAAATTTGCATTACACATTTTTTTAAATTGCAGGGACTAACTTGGTGGAGCTGTATTTCTTTAACCTGAAACTTCACGTTTGATCGCTCCTCTAGTCAAACCGTGTTGTAATTCTCCTTTGTGGAAGGTGGACGTTCCTCACACAACTCATGGTCTTAAGAAATAGAAATTTTTTAACCCAACTGTAAGGTCTTCATTATTTAAAATAAAAATATCTTGATCACTAGGTTAGTTCAAATTAAAAATATTAGCACATTTTGACAATATGAAAATGCCGTTTCTTTTTTTATTATTTCAATGGCCAAAGTTTAATTTTTTTTGCCCTTAAAGGCATGGTAATGGATTGAACATGCAAATATAAGAAAAGTGCAATTACCGTATCCGTATGTTACAGTACCAATTACCTCGAGTTTCCTGCGCAATTGACCCGCTTACAGGCTGCTTGGTTAGCATACTTCGAAAGGTCAAAAACTCCTGTACTCCTCAAAGGAAGGCAGCTTGGCTTTTTCTCGAAATTCGAGATTACAGAATTTACGGACTCCAGTGCCAATCGGACTTATTTCGTTTTTGGAAGAACCAGAAAAACAGCTCTGGTATAACCAGATGGGATATGGGATATTTTGGGGAAGACAATGCAATAATACCTACATCCTGAGTAAAATGAGACTGGATACTGTTCATCAAATTAAGTATATTTTTCGTTACATTCTGACAAACTTTCTTAGTTGGGTAATCCGTAATCATTTTGGGAAGAGTGAGGGAAAGAGGATCTTTTCTAAAACAGGGTGTGTGAAATAATCCACAAAATCTAACCACATACTTTCTTTTATCTGGTTTGAGATCAATCCAATCCCTGTTTCTGTAGAGGTTTCCCGTCCCTAATTTTGAAAGAAGTTTGATTTCCCATGAAACTATTTGAAAATATTTGTGAAATGCATAGAATTTTCTAAATTGTGCACTTCCTGAAAGTTGACACATATCGGAGAACTTACTAAGTAGAAAAAATGAAACGGCAAGGTGTATAATTTCGCTGAAGTCATTACAATAAACATTTTATCATACGTTCTTTCTTCACGCAGTACAGAATCATCGTTGTATGCATAAAAACGAATCACGTAAATAAAATTCGATCATTAGCACGTTCGTAGGTACCATGGTAACTTAGTACTAAAACGTTGACTCATCTTTACAGATATCGCCAAGGAGCCATCATGTTCCGCAGTTAAGATTTAGACGGACGATATGAGTGACACGAATGACTCGCTGCAAGAGAGCGCACTCGAAGAGGTTAAGAGTGAACAGGTGCCCGAAGTTTGCGAGGACGAGCAATGGGAGAAGCTTTTGGGAAATGGGAAGGCGCCAAGCGTCGTACGGTCGCAGCAGTTACCCGTGCCTAGGGTCGATGCACGGAGAAGATCCAGTGCGAGTATTTTGGGGTCGCTGCATAAGAGTTTGAGGATTTCTATAGGAGCAAAGGCGGACGCGAATGGGCACGTTTTCAGTAGGTGAGTAGAATGGTTATTGTTCACTTTATTTCATTTCTTGACGTATGTTTTCACAAATTCATGAAATGTTTTTTTAAAATAATTTATTGAAATGTAATTATGAAATGGGGCCGTGTTATTGGGTGGTAGGTGTCAACTTCTCTCTGTGAAAGTAAACACCTTTTTTGAGTTCCGGGGAGCGCTAATAACTCTCTAAGAATTTTAAGTTTCTTCAAGCAAGTTTTGGGCGAACTCATCAAAAAAGTTTGCAAACCCTTTGGGGCCCTCGGCAATCTTTTTACTTGGAACCAGAGCTGGGCTTCTCTATTATGGCCTACCAGGAAAAATGGTGGCGCTCCATTCGTTGTCACACTAAGTATATCGTTCCTAATTGGATATTCCATTGCTAGACACAATTTTGGAATTCCTTTCAAAAACGGGGGAGTAGAATTTAAAAAAAATTGCCCCAAATTGTTACATCCAAGTACAGGTTTCTGAGCTTCCAAAAGCCTCCAGTAGGTTATAAGAATATCCTAACAGTCTTGGAAAATACCACGACTTTCCAAAGGTTTTCAAGTCCCCAAGAGACTGAAAATCGTAAAGACCTACAGACTCTTTAATACATTCTGATAGTATTTAAGAGGCACGCCTTTTTGAAAGAGCATACAATTTCATAGGGTAAATCTTCATAGTTATTTACATAAAAGTCCGGAAAATGGTACATTACTGGCGAGGAAATATTGAAGTGCGAGGCCCCTTTGGGGTCGAGTTCTTTAATTTCCGAGTCAGGTAATGTCATTTTACTGACGAGTTTTGTATTAAATTTTACCCGAAATCGTATTTTAATATAAAATTTTAATTTTTATATAGAACTTTTGATTAATGTCAATCTGTCAGTGATGACAGGAGTCCTTATAGACACTTGGAAATGTCAAAAATACGGGCGGTAAAGTGGCAGGTGCGGCAAGTAAAGTGACAAGCGGCAGGAAACGTAGTCTGCTCTGCCTCTGTCATGGAAACTAAAATTTCCTGACAGAAAGTAGGCATGAAAATCAAGGTTTCAGGGCGATTTTGGGTAAAATAATTGAACTTCCTTCCTACAAAAAAAGTCATTCATATTATTTGGAACTGCCGCCGATTTCTAAGATTTCTTCGCAGTGGAAAATTCCCCTAGGGCAAGGTTAGTCTTCTGTGGTATGCGTAGTTTCTTTCTTTATGGGAAATGGAAAATCCCAACATATGTCGACAGTTGGGTATCTAGTTTTTCCCAGATTAAGTAGTTTCAAACCCGCGCGTCCCGCAATCTCAGCATTTCACTTGGTCAAAGATGTCAGTGAACAAGTTCGTACTTGCGATGTCGATCAAAGTTTATAAGTATATGCGGCGTATCGCGATTTTATTTACACGGTTATTTTATACTTTTAATACCGCAACTGTCGATACCAATTCGTTTACCCAAAAACCGCTTCACCAAGGAATTTAATTTACCGTAATTGTAGTCTTTGTATGAATATTTCACAATACGAAACCAGGTGCACTTCGAAGTAATAAAGACGATTCCCGTACACGAGGTTTTTGGCGAATCTCCACTAAGGCAAATAGATACTACCTCCGTGATTAAAAATTTTAATTCCTTTGATGGATTTATACAGAAAAATCCGACGGTAAATGTCATTATATAAAAAATGTCGAATTCAATAAATCCATTCTTCTAGTTTTCTGGATGTCGGCATTTAATTTCGCGCTTTTATAAACTTCCGCTATTGTTCGTATTTATCGTATTAGTTTCCAAGTCGTAAATTATCCTTTTTAAATCAGGGTTATCAAACTTTAATTCGCGGTTTAAACTTTTGCGCATTTGTTTGTATTCGCCGCACTTAATAGTTTTTAATTCGTAAGTTGCCCTTTCTCAGTGAGGATCACTAAACTTTAATTCGGGCCTTTAAAACTTTCGCTATTTAGATTACAGGTGGTTGACTTAACTGCGTTAGTGGCTCAGTCGCTCAAAGCGCATCTGAATGACGCAAAATAAAATTCATCTTACTGATAATTTACAGGTTGTTGACGGGACTTAGCACACGGTTCAACGGGCATTTCCATCCATTCCGGAGAGAGTTACAGGTGACCGACTTAACTTCGCGTGGCACTATTTTTCTGACGGTTCGACGGGAACAACCAAATTTTTTCGTCCAATCAGACTCCTTGACATCGGTAACTCAACTCAACTCGAAATAATTTCTTGTCGCGTTAACAATTCTCAGCTACATGGCACCATCGATAGCGATGACTACAAAATAAACAAAATCTCCCTGTAATACGAAACTACCACGACATATCTAGGCATCACTAGTCCACGTATATCGAAAAAATTGAAGAAATCTTGCTAAATAATGAGACCAATTTTTATTTATATTCCCACAATCGCAAAATAATTCATAAACTATAAAATACAGAAATCAAAGAATCAAATCAAGTTACTTATTTATGCTCTTCAGCTTTCTATCATGTACAGGGAGGTGTGGTTCAAATTCGTGGTTCACCATTGGGATCTTCGTAACCGTGAGTGATGCTGTCTATGTTGATTGGGAACAAAGTTGACCCTTTTTGTGAACAAAAAAATGTATTTAAAATTGTTGAAAGTCTTTGAAAATAACTGAGATATCACGGAAAAACTGAAAAATTTCGTTTTCATTTTCCCTATCCTCAGATACTATATTTTCGGCATATTTTGTTGAAAATTAATCCACGTAGTATAGTGTAACACTATTTTTGTGGTAAAGTTAGGGATTCGGAGACTTGGTACTGGAATTGTAAGAATAAATAACTGAGTATTCGGTGGAATGGAAGTTTGTCCTTTTTAATGTCTATAGAGCGTTGTTTTCTTAATGGATTCCGAATGTCTGGAGACGAGATGTCGGGGATTTGGATCGTATTCAGTTATTTTCTTTTGGATTAGAACTGCCAATTCGGCATGTTATTTCAGCATCATAGAAACTGCAACGTAGCATATGTTTGTCGTATTTGGAAATTATGTGGTACCTTATCTTTTATTTTGGGAATTAAGTAAACGAATTAACGATTAAAAATGGACGTCTGCGTTTATAAGAAGCTATTTTGTAGACGTTCTTTAATTAATAAGGAATAAAGAGCATTAGCTTTGGTGAAAAATTTTGAGGATTTGTGGTTAATTTCCAATTTACAATTTTCATTACATATTTCGCGTCTGAACTGGGGAAAATTTAACCATACATTTACAATTTAAATAAAACAAGTTGTAAATCAGCAAATGCATGACCAAAGCGCATTTTTGGTAATACAGATCAGTATTTTATTAGCGAATTATTATCGATCTCACGAGTAATTTTGGCTGCGTTAAATAATTAATTTTTTAGGCTATCATCACAAAAACGTTGATTTTGTGGTCGCTTTTGCGGCCATAAAGTTTCACTTTATTGTACGCTTCTGTCAAACTTTACTTTATTGTACACATCTGTCAAACTGTACTTATTTGAAACTGATGTGTGAGAAACAGTAATCTGTTTGATACAAAGCGTCTATCTGGTCTAGCCCCATCAAGGATAGGGCCATCCACGTGTGTTTTTTTCATTTTCGGACTTGTAGGAATGTTTCACACTATTTTGCATAATCACAATGTTCACATTTAAAATTATAGTTTGACGTTTCAATCTTTGCTGCTTGCAGACCTTTTTGAAGTGTAGAACCAAAACATGAGGAAGATGTTATTGCTTACATTATTATACGAAGAATCACCAGCAATTAACTGAGAACACAAGTAGCTACCTATACCTACCATCAAAGTAGGTAATCAGGTTTCTAATAATTGTACAGCATGTTAACTATAAGGTCTTGGAAGCCACAGTTACGAAGGACCTATTGCATTTGACATTATTAAAATCTTGTGCAACGGAGGAAGTTGTGATTGTACTTTTACTCTCAAACGCCTGCTCTTATATCATACCTATATGACTTAGGGTCGCAACGCTTGCAGCTTCCAAAATTTCATTTGGGGTATCTGAACTGTCGCTATCGCCCATTTTGATACGCACAAAACACACGCAAAGATGCTAATTATAATTACATTTATGACAGGAAATGCTTTGTTTTTAATTGTCTAAGATAACTATGATTTTCAGAAAAAATATGTTTATGAGCAAATTTTTGAATTCTTTTTTGATGATCGCCTAAAAAATGTTGTGTGCACCTTGGCCAAAAGTGATTTGTTAGGCCCCATCTGAATTGCGGCCTCGGCTACCGCCTCGGCCGCAAACAGCAGCTTCGGCCAAAAAAGATCACTTTTACGGCCTTGGTACACAAATAACTATTTTGTGCAATTGGACGCGAAACAACAACTTCGCGTTCGCCATGGCGGCCGCGAAATTCACTTTCGCGGCCGCTGTCATAGCGACGGCCGTTAAAGTAAGACAATGTCACATATATTTTGACAATCAGCATGTAGGCAATTACAAATCTTTTGGATAAATGTTAATATTAAGCCTACAGTTCGTATTGTTACTTATACTTACTCCTGAAATAAAGTCTAAAGTGTTAGAAGCGTTATACTTTGAAACTGTAACATTTTGATTTTCATTAGAACTCAAACTGACAGGTCCACTTGAAGTCCTTGTAGCATTTTTCGTACTGCCGCTTCGATTTTTCAGGTACTAACTCATAACTGCAACACAGCAGAATTCACAACAAGTTTTATTTCCGGAGGAGTTCCGGATATCGAAGAATCACTTTCGAAGTCACACATTTTGACTTTTCTTTCACGAAAAATTATTCATTGTTTATCTCATTTCCATGGTAAAATGAAAACTGGCCGTCTTTCTATTTGCGAAGAAAATTATTATTTTTGAAATCTCATTTTTATTATTGACGATTCTACGCAATTGCACAAAAAATGTTGTGTATACCACGGCCGCGTCATTCTTTAACGCCCTCAAAGTTGCCTTGCCTCGGCCGCAAGCGGCCTCGGCGTCAATCTTCTTTTCGGTACGTTA